TGGTACAATTTTTTTTTTGAGTTTTACTCCTAAGATCTTATAATATTTGGAAATAACACTAGCAACTATAAGCACTTTAAATTTTTTTTACTTAAGCGATGTGAAATTATGCACTTGTAACTCTCCAAGTATGATAGTCTGTCAGTTAGGGTTGCAATTTGGATGGGTTCAACACAAATAACCTGAGTCCAGTCCGAAATTTTACGAATTTGGATAATGTTTTTTTAATTTTGGTTTGGGCCTGGACTATATATTTTGAGCTCGAATTTAATTCGATTTGAACTTGGGTTGATATGAATGAAGACTGAAACCAAACCCGAGCCTGAAAATATTAAATATATTTATAACAAGACTAACATCCGTGTAGAAGCAAGTTGGTAATGTATTTAGGATTTATGCTGAAGGTTTCAGGTTCAAGCTTGGCTGCCAGCTTATTGTATAAGTGCCAAAAAAAAAAAAAAAAAAAAAAAAAAAAAAAACATTTTCAAGAAAGTTTTTTACTAAAGGCTAATAGTAATTTGCGTTGTTTTTGCACTTTACTCAGATAAAAAAAAATGTTATTTTTCATTTTTATTTAAAAAAAGTACATTATTTGGATTCATGATTTTAAATCAATCACCTTAATTGTAATAAATAATCCAAACAGTCCTTAATGCTCCAATCTTAACTTCAGGATAAGTGCCTCACAAAAAAAAAAGGAAAAAAATTCAATTTCAGAATAATTTTATATATTTTTATGTTATAATAATAGGTCTTTGAATAGTTAAGACTGTTTTGGCACTTTAGACTAGTAAAAAAATGCATTATTATTATTATTATTTTTAAAGCTACCTTATTAAAAAATGGTTGAAATAAATTTTAATTATGATTTTAAATCAATCACCTTAATTATTTCAGTTTTGTTTTTAGAATGGTTAATTACTTCAGTTTGATACTACGAAATAAATAAGCCAAATTAGACGGCCTTTAAATCATTTTTCAACTAATTTTTATTTTTAAGTTCTTCAAACTCTGTTTTGGAAAAGCACTTGTAGCAAAATACAGTCTCTGCTCTCTACAGCTTTTATATATACAGTAACAAACTAGCTGTAAACTGTAAACACAATAAATGCTATATATCAAACTCCATCTTTTTGTGATCAGCAACATCAGTCTTTTGATCTAAATGTAAACAGAAGCAGACCACTGTGAATCGCCTGTGAATTACGCTTGCTGCGTGAACCCCAGAAATGTAAACCGATTGTCTTTTATACTTGTTACGAGAATTACACAAATTTGGACTTATGTTCCAAGCTCTACAGTTAATAGTGGGTCGGCAAAATTTTGGGAACAATTTGGAGCACCGAAATTTTGTTCTAACATTTGGCCCATTCTTGGAACATGTTCTTACACTGTTGGAAACAATACAGTCCATGCCAAACAAGTTTTGGGTCTCAATAGTGGTACTGTAGCATTTTGGGAGCACAACAGAACAAGGTAGAACAAACACTTCTAACAAATAAAAAAAAAAAAAAAAAAGAAGGTAGAACAAATACCAAACAGCGTCTAAGTCTCTCTTTAATACTTCAAAGTCCCTTGTTAGGGAGAGACTTCAACAAATATTCCAAATCTACCCATAGAAATCGTACTCTTTTTTTTTTTTGAACAAAAAACACTACACTAAAATAAAATAATATCACAAAGTTCATCCGATGTGAACACCAGGATGAGACCATACAAACAACATGCACAAACAGAGCCACCATTATAGGTGAACACAAAGACTCTGCAATCATAAAACTTATGATTAGTTTATGTAACTTCTCTAAAACTTATGATTAGTTTACATTTGGTACAAATATTCCATATCAATTAGATTATTTATGTTTAACTAAAAATTTAAAACACCACATAATATGATATTGTTCATTTTGTGTCCGAGCCTGCACGGTTTTGCTCATGAATTTTATTCCAAAATGTCTTACAACATTTGGAGATAGCACAGACACATATAAGCATTTCACATATTTTCCTTACCCGGACGATGTGAGATTGTACACCTGTAACTCGTTAAGTATGATGGCCTCCAATTAAGGTTGCAACTTGGGCGGCCCAATCCAAAATAACCCAAGCCCAGCCCAAAATTTTGTGGGCTTGGGCAATATTTTTCTAATTTCAGTCTGGACGTGGATTATATATTTTGAGTTCGAATTCAATTCGATCTTGATTTGGATTGATATGGATGAAGAGCGAAACCCAATCTATGCCAACCCAAGCTCGAAAATATTATATATATTTATAATTAGACTTAAATCACAAGAGTATGGTAACAAGTTAGTAATGTGCATAGAATTTATGCCGAAGATTATCAGAATAATTTTATACATTTTCAAGAAAGTTATTTAAAAAAGCCTAATAGTAGTTAGCATTGTTTTTGCACTTTACCCAGAAAAAAAAAAATATTTTTTAATTTTTATTTTTAAAAAGTACGCTAATAAATAATGTTCCAAATAAGTTTGAATCATGATTTTAAATCAATCACCTTAATTGTAATAAATAAGCCAAACAATCCTAACTGCTCCAAACTTAACTTCAGGATAAGTGCCTCAAAAAAAAAAAAAAAAAAAAAAAAAAATCAATTTCAGAATAATTTTATATATTTTTATGTTATAATAATAGGTCTTTGAATTTATTTTAAACCCAAACGCAAGAATCAAAACCAACCCAACCGACAAGGGTAGTTCATAATTCAAAAGGGTTATTTAATAGTAGTTAAGACTGTTTTGACACTTTAAGTATTATTATTATTATTATTTTTTAAAACTATCCTAATAAAAAATGGTCGAAATAAATTTTAATCATGATTTTAAATCAATTACCTTAATTATTTCAGTTCGATAATAAATAAGCCAAATTAGGCAGCCTTTAAATCATTTTTCAACTAATTTTTATTTTTAAGTTCTTCAAACTGTGTTTTGGAAAAGCACTTGTAACATAGTACAGTCTCTGCAGCTTTTATATATACGGTAGCGTATAAACACAATCAATGCAATGTAGTAACAAACTCCATCTTTTTGTGATCAGCAACATCAGTCTTTTGATCAAACGGCTAATGTTTTTTCTAAATCTTTTACCACTTCAAAGAATCACAACACAGATCGAGCACGTCTTGTGTGACCTCTGTCATATACATACCTACTACAGTCAAAAGTGACCTCTTGAATCTTGACTGGTTTGTGCATGTAAATATCATGATCTGTCCTTTATATAAAAATTAGTAATTTGTCATAAGAGATTAATATTCTGGTTTTATGCTGTATATATCATAACCTATCATCAGTATATAGCTGTACATGATTTCAATTTATATCATGAGTCCATCTCTAAGTGGTCTAATGAAAGAGAATATTATTAATTCTAATGATTGGTGGACTCAAAATTTAATTAAAGAAGAGGCCACTTGTAATGCATAAAATTTAATTCAAGAAGTGGCCACTTGTAATGTAGGATTGTATACGAGTCGAGCCATTCGTAAACTATTCGGGCTCAGCTTGTTATGAGCTCGGTCCGTGTTAATTTGTTTACTAAATGAATTAATTTAAAAATAATAATAATAAGAGCTCAAACAAAAATATTAAAATTATTTATTAAACGAGTTAATCTCAAACATTCTTTTACTCAGCTTATTCACAAACATGTTCGGAAATAGGTTCGTTTAGTTATTCATCTTGAGCTCGAAAATATATATATATATATATACTAAATGAATTAATTTAAAAATAATAATAATAAGAGCTCAAACAAAAATATTAAAATTATTTTTTAAACGAGTTAATCTCACACATTCTTTTACTCAGCTTATTCACAAACATGTTCGGAAATAGGTTCGTTTAGTTATTCATCTTGAGCTCGAAAATATATATATATATATATATATATATATGTATGTATGTGTATATTAGGTATAAATATACGGGAAAATTACATATACATGGAGTCAAAGTTCCATATTTACTTAGAGACTGAGTCAAAGTTCCATATTTCTCTAAAATGGATTGCTGAGGTGGCACATGGTTTTTTACTGTTTAGAAAATTGTGGTGCCTAAAATGCCCTTCCCTAACAAAAAAGTAGTACCTTCAGTGCAAAAAAGTAGTACCTTCAGTTCAAAAAAGTAGTACCTTCGGAGAAAAAGTAGTACCTTCGCGGGTGTTTAAAAAACATGGTACCTGGACGCCAAAAAGTAGTACCTTCAGTTCAAAAAAGTAGTACCTTCGAAGAAAAAGTAGTACCTTCGTGGAAGGGTATTTTAGGCACCACAATTTTTAAACAGTAAAAAACCATGTGCCACCTCAGCAATCCATTTTAAAGAAATATGGAACTTTGACTCAGCCTTTAAGTAAATATGAAACTTTGACTCCATTTATATGTAATTTTCCCTAAATATACGAGGCCTCATCCAACCCAAATATTGATATATAAATGTATTTGTGTGTGATGTGTTTAAAATTTGAGAAAAAAGAAAACAAAATTTGGAGTCGGAGTCGAGCTCAAACACTCTTATTGCAAGACCTAGCCGAGCTTGACTCAGTTGCAGCCCTGACCATAAGCACCATAAAACTTTTCCGTCTTTTTCCCCACTCTCAAGTGTCAAGGGTAACAAAAAGCAGTAATTGTTGTGAGTTGTCACAGTACAGCCTCTGGCTTCATAAAACAAAACTAGCTCTAAACACCATCAATGCTAAAGAAACTTTCTTCTGATCAAAATCATCAATCCATATGCATCCAACGGCTTATATATATATATATATATATATATAATCCATTTCAATCCCCTTCCTATCTTTTCTCACCGACAAGTCACCAGACTCACAACACACAGCACCCGAGCATTACCACCAGTCAAGAATACCTTTGATCCTTTGACTAGCTAGTAGGTGCAAATAGTATTACACCTACTTAAGTCTTAACACCAACCACTCAATATTGCATTCACTTGAGAGTTAAAAGGGGTCTCTCTCTTTAAATACGGCATTGCCCTGTTTTTTCTCTCCATTCTAATTTCTTAGAGAGAGAAACTTTGGAGAGAGAGAGTGTTGAGACAGGATGAGGCTAGTACCTCTTATTCACATCAATGGCTTTCAAGCCTTCCATTTTAGAGTTGTCTTTGTTCAATGGGTAAGGTCTTCTATGCCCTCTTCATTAATTAGTACTTCTTGTTAATGCTATATATCCAGTTATTAAATATTTTATTTCTTGATCTTTATAATTCAGGTAATAAGAAGTTTCTCAATTACGAAAATGTTGAAGCTGAGAATGGGTAGTGTCGGCAAACTATTGCAGGTACCAATCTTGAAATGCATTTTACTTTCTCTGTTTGCGTCACATATTAATAATTGTTTTCTCATGTATTGAAAAAAGTTCCTGTTACATTGATACATCACTTTATTGTTGTTTTTCATTATTATTGTTGAATTTTTTTTTTTTTATATTTTACTTTTGTTGTTGTTTCTCATGTATTGAAAGTTATTATTATCTTCTTATTTTTTTCAAGTTAGTTATTATTTCTTTCTTTGAAGAAAATTATTTCTTACATCCTTTTATTGACGCTAGATCATTATTATCATGACCAAATTTGACTTATCTATGATTTTTTTTTTTTGGCATACGTGTTAAACATTTCTTTACCCATAAACCATATCTTACCCAAATTGTTCAATTGAAATTTTATAAATAAATTAATTAGTGAGTTTTAAATCACAACTTCAAGAGAATATAATAAATATGTTTGCAAAAAATTTATAGAATGTCCCTCCACTACTAGAAATATGGGTTTTAGTAACAGTCTTAAAAACTGTCCCTAAAACATACGGTTTTAGAGATAGTCTTGTAGACTGACCTAAAAACTTATTTTTTGGCATAGTTTCAAGTAGGGTTGCAAATTGGGTTGGCCCAACCCAGCCCAATCCCAACCCAACCTCAACTCGAATCGGGTTGGGTTGGACTAACCTGAATTGTATTCAACATGAGTTATGGTTAAAACCCAGCCCAAGTGTTTTCGGGCTGGTCGGGTCGAGTTTACGGGTTGTGTTTTTAAAAAATATATTGAAAAATAAATTTTTTTTTTGAAAATTTATATATTATATATTATATATATATATATATAATATATATTTGATTATATTATTATTAAAAAACAAAAAAGTTTTAGGGTAAATCATTTCAGCCTCCCACCAGGTCACATTCTCGACTCTCTCTCTCTCTCTCTCTCTCTCTCTCTCTCTCCATTGCAAACTGCAAAATCTACCAGAATCAAAAGTTCAAAACCCATTTATTTAAGATCTGATTTTGAATGGGATCAAGCTTTTTAGAGTAGGAGCAGTCAAGACCAACCTTTTTCAAGTAAATCCGCATAGACGTGTAACACATGTATGCTCTCAATGATTGTAAAACGGTTTTTTCATTGAGCATGACAATTATTTTTCCATTCGATCAGAGATCTGCTGATACACGGCTCAAATCTAAAATTTTGATGATTAATCGTCTAGCTTCAGCCCTGATTGTTGCAGGGCGGATAATCTCAGAATAATGATTGGTCTGCAAGAATCAACAGTTCAAAACCCATATCGGCATAACTTGTATGTATGGGTTTTGTTTTAATTTTTGGAAGTGACGGCGGCGGCGGCGGATTATCGGCTGAGGGCCAGGGACGACGGCGGCGGTTCAGCGGCAAAGGACGGCGGTAGAGAGAGAAAGAAGAGAGGAAGAGAGAGGAGAGAGAAAGGAAAAAAAAAAAAAATTTAATTTCGGGTTTTGGGTTGGGTTCGGGTTGAGCTCGAGCCCAACCCGAATATGTTTGGGTTTTGACAAAACCCAACCCGAACATGAGCCCGATTTGTGAATTGTATGTCCAAATTTCAAAATTTATGGGTTGGGGCTAGGCTAGGCTGGGTTAGCCCGCCTAAGTTGCAGCCCTAGTTTCAAGGACGGTCCCTAAAACCTAACTGGCCGTCCCTAAAACCTTATTTTTTGGCACAATCTCATAAACTGTCCCTAAAATCTTAGCTATCCTTTTTTGACATAGTTTAAAGATTGTCCCTAAAACCTTAACTAGCCCGTCCCCAATTCCACAAAAAAATAGTGCGGCAACATTTGGCACTTCATTTTTTGTTTGGCACTACAAAAATATAATATATAAAATAATTTTATTTTACAAAATAGGGCATAAACTACGTCGTTTGATCATATATATCATTACATCCGTATACCTAGTCTTCAGTTCTGAACGCTCAAGCCCTCACGCCTCTTCCACTGTCTTCCATCCTCTTCCACCTTCTTCCACTGTCGCAGAAGACAGAGTTCTTAATCAAACATTCTTTGGGCTTCAATCTTCACCGAATCACAAGATTCAATCTTCACCAAATCTGGAGTAGGCTTGTGGTCTGAGTCTGAATCGCTGTGGGAAATACAGGTTTGCAGAAGCGATTCTTTGTTGTTTCAAAGAGAATCTCGGGCTTGGAGGAGGCTATTAGAATCAGGAGGTACTATTGTGATGGAACTTTATAAACCCTTATATATTCTGTTATGTGTTCCTTCAGTCTCTAATGTTATGTATGCTAATGTATCTATGTTTGTGGTTCTGATATCGTAATTGATCTTGATTTTTAGTGTTTTTGATTTCTGTAAATCTTTGTGTTTTTGCTTGATCTGATGGTCGATGTAATTTGGGATTACACATTCTTCGAAGAGAATCTCGAGTTTCCTAAGAACTAACCAGTTTCGCACCGCCTCTTTGCCTTTCTAAAACGTTCCGACTTGTCACGCCGGCCAACCGACGAAGGGCGGACGAATGAACAAGCCAAGGTTGACAACGTTCAACGGCGGCTACCGTTTGGTACGGTATTGGTCAGAAGATTCTTCTCTCTACCTCTTTGATTTGTTTTTGTTCCATCTATTGAACATCTGTTATCTTTCTCTTTGAGATCACGATTGACTACAAACCACTTCTTACAAGGATATATTTTGTTTTAATCTAGTTTTTCTTCCATTCATTTTTGAAATCTTTTTAATAGGTCAGAAGTGTATGAATTCATATACGCACTTGTTTAATTAGGTTAATTATTCAACGTCTTTGTTAATTATTTTTTTTTTCCCTCTCTCTATATATTAATATTCCGCAAGAAAGTTCAATTTACATTATAAACTACTATGATGTTGTTTGATGGTTCAGTATATTTAGTTTTTTGATTATATTCATGTGAATTATTTGATGCATATTTTGATCTTGTCAACGCAGAACATCCTTCATATTTTTATAGTTACGAGTGAACCACACGTGGTGTGCAAATGGGCATACATAAGAGGTATACAACCTTCAAAAGAAGATCAAACCCATTTTGATTTGTGAGATAAAGCATGCAAATTCTTGAAGCATACCAAAATTGTGAGTAAACAAAAATAAAAAATACCCAAATTAATAATAATGAAGAAAAATATGGAGAGAAATTAAACCTAGTAGTTCCATCAAAGAGGGCAGAGGAGTTGACTTTGGCTGCCGGAGACAATGATGATGTGGAAACTAACCTAGTTCCCTGATCTCCATCTCCCTATATTGAGTCAGTTTTAGGGAAAAATATACTACATAATTGAGTGTAAATCATCATTTTTGTCAAGAAAATTGCAATGTAATTTTTCACAAATGTAAGAGAAGGAAAAAAATGAAAAGAAAAAAAAAAAAAAGAGCAGTAGTACTACTGATAAGGCTCATTAGAAGTTTTCTAAACTCATGGGAAGCAAAAGCAATCTTCTTCTTTGCACTCTGTTAGACAGATAAATGAGTATTACAAAAAAAGAAAAAAAGAAAAATAAGAAGAAGATGTGTTAGAAAATAAATGGCTGTCTAATAATGTCAAAGCAGTAAGATGGAGTAGATTATTTAGAGAAGTTTCATTAATTTAAATAAGTTCATACAAATTTCTTTCAAAGTTTGATTTGGATTGCTTTTACGTGGCTTTGATGATTATTGAGTTGCATACATTTGTTGAATCATTGAGGAAGTAGAGTGCAGACAGAACTAGAAATCTGATGTTTTTATTGTAGAACAATTGATTTACGGTTTTAAAAATACCCCATAAAAGGTACAATTGTGAATTCAAATTTTCCTTGTTCTTGCGAAAGTGGGAAACATGTGGACAGTTTCCAAGAGAAGCCATATGTATGAATACTTGTATAGTGAGAAGTTTTATATAAGGAAGCATTATATGTACACTTGTATACTCACAAGGTAGCAAGCTTCTAAAGGGAAGGTTCTCACTTGGGTTGTAGGAGGACATATATACATTTAGGCATATGTATTGTACAAAGAGATGGAGAAAGCTGAGAGTAATGAACTTGATGCTGAAGTATATATAGGGGTTAACAAAGAGAGAAAAATAGAGAAGGAAAATTGGGAAAAGAGGCTCAAAGAGGTAGGTTTTCCCTCTCTGAACCATTTTTAAAATTTGATTTATTTTGTTAAAAATTTAGAAAAAATGCTGCTATTGTTAATACTTTACGTGACCAGCTGAATTATATTACCGAGCTTTCTCTTTTGAGTTACTTTTTGTTTAAATTTCTCTTTAAGTATTGGTTCTGTGCTTCATTAATTTGCAGCTTTGATTTGGTTGACCAAATTAATTGTTATATTTGAGCATTTACTTTTTTTTTTTGGGTTTATGATTATATTTAATGTGATCTATTCAGTTATATTGCCAGTCTTTATTTATTGACTTCCTTTAGGTTTATTAACATCTAATTATTGAATTTTTTATTCAATGGAATTATGTAATATGAAATGATTACTTAGAATATATTCTGCATATGCTTGTTTATTTTGATTTAATTTCACTTGATTCTTCATATCAGCTTGTAAACTAAATTATGGACACCTCCGAGGAACCAATGCGTAGAGTTTTTAGGTCCCGCAGGGCTGAAACTGAGCGACCATCTACAAGTTCACCTGTTACACAACCGAGTGGATCAGGTAATGATAGGAATTCAACAAATCAAAGAATGGAAGGTCATGGTAGTAATGAGCAGATGGGGCCAAAACCAAGTGGAGGTAATTATGCTTCATCATTGATTAACAATAAGCTCTTTTGTAAAATGCCTACGTTTTAATTAAGATGATAAATTTGTTTTTCAGGTTCGATACGAAAAGGGCATGGAAGAGTAAAAAATGAAGCCTTGCACAAAATTAATGAAAACAATTGGCCGATTCCGGTAGAGTTTGGATAGGGTTATATTAAACCTATTGGTTTAAATAACAAATTATGGACGGCTGAGGTTGGCATTAATACACGAGATACCGAAGCCCTTCTAAAGTATAAAATGTGGAGGGATGTTCCAGATTTTGAGAAAAAGGTCTGCTATAACCATTTGAAGGTAATGATAACCATCATTTAATGTTTGTTTTGTTAAAAATAAATCAGAGGTTACTGGTCCAATTGGTTACAAATTATAGCTTACCTTAATTTTACATTATAAAGGAGGTCTTTGGAGTGGATGGATATGCGAATGACACTGATTTTAAGCGAGTAAATAAGGAAATTTCTAGCGCGTTGAGGAAATATAGATATAAATTGAAGTGTCGTTTTGAAGAGCATCTTCCAATTGAGAATGCACACCGCCATCCTTACAATGGTATTGATAATGCTGTTTGGCAAAAATTGTGTGATACGTGGATGTCACCAAAATTTCAGGTTCAATTTCTTAACTACATGTTTTTTACTTTTCAATATAATAACTTTATTCACTCGCTATTTAGGTTTCCTAACTTGTAATATTGTTTGAATTACTACTTAGGAAATAAGTTGAAAAAACAAAGAAAATCGTTTCAAGAATGAGGTTCCACATTATTCTGGATCAATGTCCTTCGTCAGACGTTACGACGCTTATGTGCGTAATATATGAAGCAATAATTATAAATTTTTTATTTTATATTCTACGTTCTAAACCATATATTTGTCTAATAGTCACTATTACTTTGTACTGTAGGTCAAACTTAAAGAAAGGCTGAGCCAAGAAGATGAGGACAGTGAAAGGGATGAGGATCCTGCTATCCGTTTGTACAAGGACACGCATTTTAAGGAACAAGGTGGATGGGTACAAGAGAAAGCTAAGAGGAATTTTGTAAGTTAACTATAAGCTAGCATGTTGGATTATGAAATTTGGATCTCATAATATTTTTGCGGTTTATAGGGGGTCACATGCCTTTAAGTGACCACTTTTGTGGTTTATGGGGGGTCACATGCCTTTAAGTGATCATTCTTGATTTTTTGTGCACAAATGGAGGTGGGGAATTGTTGCGTATGAAGTGTGGTTTTCATTCATTGCATTTTATGTTTAATAAATAAATAAATATAATGGGAATAATTTGTTGAAATGTTGGGGCCATGTGACAAAGAGGGTACTTGGTACATTCTGCTCATATTTTCTATTTTACTGAAAGGTGCTAAGAATTCCCTCCTTGTCATCCTTGAGATATAAAAATAAAAAAAAGCCAAATATACAAATAATAAGATAGTGATCAAATAAATCATCAACCTCCAATATACTTATTAATGTTAGAAGTAATCAACAATCACTTGTGAGGCCATAACCTTTTCCTTTGGGACAGTCTGTTATAAAATGCCATTATAGAGTTCCAACAAATTAAAAAAAGGAATTGTAGAATGATTCTTTTTTATTTTTTATCTTTATTATTATTATTATTTTTTTGTGTTGGAGCTCTGTAGCTGAGATTTCTCTGTTTGGCTCAGTGCTGCCAAACTCACTTTCTAGTCTCTAGGGCTGCAAAATTTCGAACTTGGCTTTATTAGTAGCCTCTGTCATTTCATGCCCCTGAATGAAGATATGAAACCACACATCCTCTAAAGACAAGGTTAGACACTTGAACTTGACATGGCAATAACTTGTATAAAAAATTACATAGAATTAAACTTACTGGGGTTGTCAATTTAATAAAAAGAGTTTGGAATCATCCTAATAGGTTAGAGGCGAGTAAAGAAAGTTTAAATCCCAGATTAATAATTAATATATAAATAAATATGTTTCATTAGCTATCATTTTTTCGGCTTCTGTAAGGTTGGAACTTTTTCATAGAGAGATGGAAGAAGGTTGTAGATGCAGAATTCTGGATCTGATAGTTGTTCTTTCTTAGTTGCTTGTTGATTTTATTTTATTTTTCGCTTGCTAGTGGGTCTCTACATTCTGTTTGAGGTTGGGCTAGGTTCAAATCTGTTTGAAGTTGAGATCGGGCTCGGACATTCTGGTTGAAGGTTGGACTGGGTTGGGCTTGGGTTGGAAGGGAAGAGCTTGGGTTAAATCTAAACCTTGTCCAAGAACTTGGGTTAAGTCTGAATCCACCTGAGACACCCAATTTGTGATGTATACACTATATAGCTGCCTTGAACAGACTTAGGTTAATCTTTTGTGTAGGGAAAAAAAAATGAAAAAAAAAAAGAAAAAAAAAAGTGTTAAGAATGTGCTTTTCTATAACAAATACTTTAGCAACAGATGTGTTTAGAATTTTCCTTTTCGATAATGTAGTTGAATTATATAAAAAGTTTATGGCATTAGACTAAAAACAGATTTGCGTGATCTTGTTGTTGGACTATCTCACAGATTAGGCTGTTATGAACTAATCGCTAAATTTCATATTTTTGTTCTTTTTGACATAAAATAGCTTTCAGAAAATACTTTTCCCTGCAAATTATTTTTTAGATATAAACATAGAACTTATATATATATATATATATATATATATAATATCAAGGGTATCATTGTTGGATGCAATCTTACTTGTGTTTTGACTTACAAGTGTGAAGAGCAGTCACTTTAAACAATATGACTAACTTGGCTTGGGTATAGTTGAGGAGTTGTTCATTCATTGAAATATGTTATCTTCCTTTGATTGCCAGGCATGCAGGGAAGAGTCTTTAATTCTGGTGTGGTTACAGGTAGGAAACCTAACTTTGCTACTGTCCAACCATCCTTCATATGTTCAACCAAAAATGAGATGGCATCTGGCCTAGGTTATGGACCATGCCATGCCATGTGCCCTCTGATTCAGTCACTCACACGTGCACTCGTTGACCAAATCCATTCTCCCCAGAAAATACCACATTGAAAAGTTGTTGTCATGCCTCTCTTCTGCATGCATTTACATAAGAATATATCAGCATATTTATTTTTTTCTGCATGATCTTTACATATAGATAAAATATTTCTCATGGATCTTATGCTTGTTGTTTCTGTTGCTAACCATATACTATTTATTAGTTTAGTGTAATTAGTTGTTATGTATTTCGATTAGGTAAAAAAAAAAGAAGAAGAAAAAGTTGTTAGGTATTCTAGTCAAATGAACAATTCTAGCAAAATGATATGGAATCTTGAAAAAGTATAATTGAAGTAGATTTAGTGAAAACTGGCTATAACTTTTACTATTTTGACCAGTTTAGAACTTTGAGTTTAGGATGGATCAAATTTATACTGTATTTTGTCTATTATTACATGGTTAAAGTCCTTTTAGATGCTCCATAGAAGTTGAATTAGTTGTTTATGTAGTTGATTTATTCGTATGCCATATTCTTTTAATTTGATAGCGAACTTAAATATTTTGCAGGATGCAATGAAAGAAAAGGCTGCACAAAATTCTCAAAATTCTGGTGGTACGAGTCCAACCATAAATGATGTTGAGATAGTACAAAACCAACTAGGCATAAGGAAGGGATATTGCCGTGGATTCGGACATGGTTTCGTGTTTCCAAAGCGTCAACATGCCTCCTCATCATTGGATGAGGCTTCTAGGAAAAGGACTGAAATTGTTAAAGAAAGAAATGTACAAATGGCGGAAAAGATGGAAAAACTTGAGAAGATGCTTGAGCAGTACCAACAATAGCAGCCACCATGGTTCCTCCAATATCAGCAGCAACAGCAGCAGCCGCCACCATGGTTCCTCCAATTTCAGCAGCAGCAGTCGCCACCATGGTTCCACAAACAACGGTCTCTATCAGATTCCCAACAGCAGCAAACCGCACCAAACTGGCATCAACAGCCACCGCCACCTCCAGCAGACTCTCATTTTTAGCAGCCGCCACCAACAAGAAGATGACAATATCAGCAGCCGCCACCAATATGGTCGCACCAACAAGCACCACCACAACCACCAACAGAATGAATAATAGATCTTGAAGAGGATGAAACAACTTTTTGTGCTGCTGCATGGTTTTAGTTTTTGTTTAGAAAACTGGAGATTTTATGGATCTTGAATATATATATTGTGGATTTATTTTGTTTTATGGCTAACAAAGCAAGCTTACAAAATATGACTCTTATAAAGTCCTTAATTATTAATGTAATCAACTGGATACATATGTCTCTCATTTAACAGGCTGCATCAGAATCTTGGGGCCTTTCTGTAAGCATCATTAGTATAATCTTGCTACCAATTACTGGAAATGCAACCGAACATGCCGGAGCTGTCATATTTGCTTTTAAGAACAAGTTGGTAAGTGTTGCAATGACCTTTACTTCAATTTTTTTTTTTTGTTTCATCCTTCTAATTTCACTTCCCTCACAAAAATTGAGTATTCTGATTACATAGTACTTTTGCACATAAATTAATGCAGGATATAACTTTGGGTGTTGCTCTGGGTTCTGTAACGCAAATTTCTATGTTTATGGTAAGTATACATATAAGCCAAGCCAAACTGATTGCTTTAACCAATATTTGGAATACTAACTTGATTTTTGTTTAACTATGACTTAGGTTCCACTAATCGTGACTGTCGCTTGGATTATTGGTATAAAAATGGATCTTGATTTCAATCTCCTTGAGATTGCCCTCGCTATAATTATCACAGCCTTCACTTTACAGGTAAGATTGTTGTCCATGACATGTCTGCATAGATTTTCACAAAAGCTCTTAATATGACACACATACATATCTTCGATTCCTTTGTTCATTGTTCTTCTGTAAATGTAAATAAGTTTTCTTTCTATCGTCTTGTAGGACGGGACATCCCACTACATGAAAGGGTTAATTCTTCTGCTATTCTACATTGTAATCGGAGCTTGCTTTTTCGTTTCCAAAACACCACTGAGTAAACTTAAAATCCAAATCTAACTCCGATCAGCCATTATCAACTCAAATTCTTACTTTAATTAATCTTGAATATATATATATATATATATCTATTTTCCAGATGATGCAAATGACTTACACTCTGGAGTTAGATCATCAACTGAAGGAATCCTCAGAGTCTGATAAGTAAGTTAATCCTTTGATTCCCTTTCAAATGCTATATCTACACAAATATTTGTATATATATAACTTTGATCTATGTTAATGCAGGCTTTGGGCAGGGTACTATCAAGTGAGGATCGATGTTTTACAGATTGAATGCATTTGTTATTCTTTCATTTTGGATCGGCCTTTCCTGCGCATTCATCATTCTGCTGTATATTGCTTTGTTTATAAAGAGTTTCATACCTTCAAAGCTTGAGATGGATGCTATACAGAGTGAGTTGGTACCATTGAAGGTTGTGTGAAGAGTGGCCCAAGTGGGCTACAACAGATATAAATGGTCATATACATGTATAGGTTTGTCTATGTTTTAGTTAATTGGGCTTCATTTCTTCTGGGTGGTGGCAAATGGGATTTTTCTTGTTCTCGAAGTGGAATAATCAATGAATAATAGCTCCTGTTGTTTGATTTTGCAATGAATTACAGTGATTGTTGTTTTGAAGCAAATGCAAGTATAGTATTTATTTCATTGGCCACAATCTGCGAATTTAGAAAGAACAAACATATCAAACTCAATTATACAATTTATATATTTATATATTAATTATATATCACTTTAATTTATACATGTATACAAGAATTATTAATTAAAAATAATATATTAGGGACGATCAGATCGTTCTTAATACAATAATTATAATTTAAAAATAAAATAATTATAATTTAATACAATAATTTAAAAATAATGTATTACCTTCCCTAATACTGTAGATAGATTGTCCCTAATACTGTAGGTATTGGGGACAGTCTTTCAAACTGTCACTAATTTGTACCTTATTAATGACAGTCTAGACCGTCCCTAAAAAGATTCCTAAAAGGTTTAGGAACGGTGTTATTTGGGACAGTTTGGACTGTCCCTAAAGGTCAAAAGTATTTGTCACGGTCAACTTTGATCGCCCCTAAAGCTCTTTTGGCACGCTACTTTTAGTGACGGACCAATTTGACTTTTAGGGATGGATTCCGGGCTTTTAACCCTAATTTCTTGCAGTGCTCCTAAAATTCTCTATTTCTATTTTTTTTTCCTTTTCTTCTTCTCCTCCTCCTTTTATTTCTTTTCTCATTTATTTATTTTATCATTGCACTCATAGATGATATATGTGCAATAACCTTATTATTATTATTATTATTTTCTCTTATTCTTTAAATATAACTGCAATTTTATAAACTTAATGTTAATATTTTATATTTTTGAGTTCTATTACTACATATTATTTAAAATAATGAAATATGCTGCTGGAATCATAGAATGAAAAAGATGTCGAATGAGGAGTATGAGGAGTGCGAGGAATGCTTTTATATCAAACGTGGTCTCATAGGAAATAGGACAAGTCTTCCAAACACTTGGCATAGTACCTCTAGTCATACGAGCACGTTTGGAAGGAGCAGGACGAAACATCTCGACTTCTAATAAAATGCACAAACTACAAATCCTAAAACTTGTACTTGTTCTTGACTTTGTCATTCCTAATGAATGGCCACGCTGTGGAGGCTGTACTGGTCCCGTTCAACATCGCGTCAACAAACTTTTCAACCATACTATTCTATTATCTAGTGTATGTATTGTTTACTTGTGTGAAGATAAATATTTCTCCCTCTAAAATTTTAGGATTTGAGTTTTCATCTAATGGAGGCTCTCACAAGTTATGCATACAAGATCTTTTATGAAGACATATAGGTGATTCCTAAAGGTAAGACTACTATGATGATGGTCTTTTATGGAGACATATTATCAGTGCACTCATATTAATCGGGTCCTTATAATCATCAACCCCCAATTATATGACTTATATAATCTTTTCAGAAGTATTTGTATAAAATAAACATAACATAAAATTGTACATTAGTATAATTGTACATTTCTTCACTTTTATCTTTTCCTATATGTAAAAGCTTTTTTTTATTTTTATTTCTTCATATTATATAATGCAATATAACTGCCATTGGCATTTAGAGCCAACAAGTGATCAGTTAAATGTTTAAGAGACTTCGAAATTTTGCTAAATATTGCCTTTACAAAATAATGTTTTATTTTCTTTAACTGAAAAATAGACCAGAGGCCAGGCACTGAGAAAAAAAAGACATAACCGGACCAGAAAGACCTTACCAGACACCAAAAAAAAAAAAAAAAAAAAAAAAAAAGAAAAAAAAAGACACAACTAGACCAGAAAGCTAGGCAACCAGACACTACATAACTAGACCAGAAAGAGGGACATAACCATACCAGAAAGAAAACCAGACCATGAACCATAAAACACATGCTGCTGGTTGAGCTCAAAATCTAAAATCACAATAACCCCCAATTATGTTGAAGAGGTAGGGAATGGAAGGTTTTTATTAGGAATTGTGTCTTAAATTTCTATTGTTTCTGTTTTATCCATGTATAGAGTTTTAAACCCAATTCTTTCTTCTATTACCTCTTTTTTTTTTTTTTTTTTTTTTTTTTTACGTTTCAATTAGGAATTGTGGTCTAGTTAGTGGAATTTTTTTGGATAAACCACTTAAATTTGTGTTTTTGTGAAGAATCCAGAGGAGCTACTTGGACTGTTAGATGTGAGTGTGACTACTATTAAAAATCCTAGAATAAAAATTTTCCTAGAAAACCATAACCCCCAATTATACCCAAGAAACTTTGTTTTATTTACTCCCTAATTCGATTAATATAGAATTACATAGCTAACTGAAAGTACTAAGAATTGAACAAGCCATGAATATGAAAACATTTAAGGCAATCCGTGATTACTTGTCATACATAATGTATAAATCATGGATATGATCATAAAAAGAAATTCAACACAGAAGAGACGGATATGAGCAGAAAAAGAAACATGACAAACCAGAGTTTATATAAAGAACCACAACTTAATATCTATAATCATCATCAAAGATCATGTAGTCACTCCTTCTAACTCTTGCTTCTCTATCAGCCTGCATATCAAACACGCAAATTTTGTTCAGAGTCATCAACAGTCACGAAATCAAACAACCATTTTTCATTGAAATCGAACAATATATATTTGTTGATAAAAATTTTATTTTTCCTGCATATGTTTATTCTTCAAAAAAAAAAAAAAAAATGTTTTCAACTTCTTAAAACATGAATGACAATTGCAGCTTATCGACCTAGTTGTAGAAGCTGGCATGTTTGTCAGCTAAGAAGCACAGACACATACATCGATGATGAGTTGTGTCCATGTTTAACACTGTCTCAGACACCGAAGAATAGTCAACTTCAATGTGAGTGACCTAGAAGAAGTAATTTTATTTAAATGAAAAGTGCCAAAGAATCTTGATAGTCAAATTTCTACCCATGATTGGGATTTTTATTCTAGGATTTTTAACATTAAAAGAAATTTCTATGAGCATTGCACATATTTTTATTGGCTTGTCCAGAAAAATCTAGACATTATGAATTGTGAGCAGTCAGTCAATGGAATTCTTAAAAGCTCTACATCAAGAGCATTTCAAAAACTAAACTAGTTTTTTTTATTTTTTTTATTTTTTTATTATAGGAAAATTTACAAAAACCAGAGAAATTATACAAAATTTAGAGGTTTGTAACAGAGCTTTTTCAATCCATGTTTATAATTTTATATGTCAAAATTTCTGAATATACTATGCATATAGACATACCCTGCTTATGAGCCTTTCGAATGCTTCAGTCCCGTTCTTTTCAATATATCTCTCTGCAGCCGTAAGAATGTCATCTGGCTCGCGGAATATATTCTTCTTCCCGGGGATATACCAGATTCTTGAAGTTGGAGGGCTCCTGTAAAATGGTCTAACGAAGTGCTGGTAAACATATGCTGCTCCATTGAACTGAGGCAGGACCAACCAGCATGTAGCAATCAGCTTAGCATAAGGCCAGATTGGGAACCTGAAATTAAGAAGAGATATCAAAATTGAAGGGTTGTAGATCCTAACATTTTCATATCAACATATGTGTATACGGTCAGATGCAATCTATATATGACTTTATGAGTGCAAAATGGGATTAACTACATGTCACCCTTTTTGCCAGCTTAATTGTATATGAAAAATTAGAAGAAAGAAAGAAGCAAACTAAGTATGACTTATTTGTAACGGGCACTGTCTCGGAGAGGTCCAGTGAAATAGACTTGTATGTGAATATGCGAACTATTTGCACCTGGACAGAAAAATCCTATGAAACTTTACTATTTCGTGGGATTGGCTTTGGGCGTTTCCTGGGCAGCTTAGGCGGAGGGCGAAGAATAGAATAACATAACAATGAGTTGAAGGTTGCTCCGGCATGGATTAAAGTGGGACCCATTGCTCTTTTTCGGCATGAGTCCCGATTCAATGCATTCAATAGAATAGTAATATTAGGCTGCTCTACCATTATTCGTCTGCCAAAAAGAATAATTAAAAAAAAAAAAAAATTGACAGAAAAATGGTGGTGCAACATGCTTACCATTCAAGGACGTTGGCGAATGTAAGTTCAAACAGGGTCATCAAAGAATACATAACCCAATAGGTAAGCCATTGCTGATCATCAGCACGGGACTTGGTCTCTATAGCCTTAATCGAAGCATACCTGTAAATGAACCAAACATTGAAACCATAACTTTATACAACAATCCCATAAATAAATAAATAAACAGTTCTATTTGTACTCTGTTTGGCTTTAGAAAACCTGGTGTCTCAATTCAATTGATATGATTGACAAAATGCTATAGTCTAGCAATACTTTAAAAGGAAGGTTGGGTGTTCATGTTTTATAGAGGCAAGTGAGTAGGCATGTTGGCGTATCCAGCATTTTTGAATGGGATAGGTTAACTTTGGATTGGGCTAATTTGGGTTGAGCTACCATTATTATTATTATTATTATTTTTGTTTTGAGGTGGGCTAAAGCCCACCTTCACCCATCCCTGGATCCGCCTTTGGGCATGTAACGAATTGCAAGGAAAAGGAAAAAAGGGAGAATAGTTGCTTACGCCATAAAAGCCCGTAAGATGAAGAACTTGAAAGATGTAGGTAAATATTATTTAAAATTTTATAAAATATGATACTATCCCCAAAATAAAATTTAAGCTCCACTCGAATGCGAGTAGCCTTGAATATAGAGAGAGTATCATTACTCAATTTTAACCGTGATAGAACCTTCTTTCGCGTGATATTTCAGGAGAAGTTCGAAGTGAATTTAAATTGAAGTGACAAAATTATAGAGGACAAGAAGAGAAGATCAGTTGGGGCAGTTTTGCTAAGAAATAAGTAGATGTAAAGCATTCCCTGAAAAGAAAATTATATTCATCACGAAAGTCTATAATATGATTACACACGTCCTTGTGAGTTGTCTGTTGTCGCAGTGAATAGCAACGCTATTTTTTAAAATCTTCAAAATAATGTGGCATCATTTTACTTATCAGTTATGGAGAAAATAACTACTTAATTGATCAGAATTAAATGAATAGATGAATTGGAGGACTCTCTCTACTCACTTCTACACTTCAGCATTCACTTTAATTTATGTTAGTCTTTGTAGCCTTTTGTAATTTTATTTCCAGTACTAAGTTTCATTTAGCTTCATTGAATCATTGTAGTTCAAATTTGTAACCAAGTATCTATTTGATCAAATATCTTGTTCAAATTTTTTTTCTTTAATTTTACCTTCCTTTTGTTAAAGACAAGTCCAACCTTAAGAGAAGGATAATTTTCAATTCACAAGAAAATTGAAAATTATTTTTAGAGAACGATAAAAAACAATTACAGTTTTTTTTTTTTTTTTTTTTTTAAATATATATATGTATATATATTTTTATTGAGTTTGTAAAAAGTGTTAACTATTTTGGTATTTTATTTTTGTGAAAATAACAAGTTTTGAAAAGTTTTGCTGCCATTTTTGTCAAAATCAAAACAATTTGGTAGCAGTGTTGAATTTTTGAAAAGAGAAACCAGAAAATATGTTTGGTATTTAAAAAAAAAAAATTTGACTCTTTTATTTACTATTATAATATAATTGAAAAATAATAAAATAACATTTTTAATTTTACTATTTGAGTATAATAATTTTTTTATTTTATTTACTATTTGAGTATAATTGAAAAATAATAAAATAATAAAATAAAATTTTTAAATTTACTATTCGAGTATGGTAAAATAATTTCTTAAATTTTATGTACTATTCATATAATTGACAAAATAATAAAATAATATTTTATTTAATATTAGAGTATAATTTATAAAATGATATTTTTAATTTTACTATTCGAGTATAATAAAATATATTTTTAATTTTATTGAATATTCGTGTATAATTAAAAATAATAATAAAATAATAAATAACAGGATTTGAAAACCAAAACTGAAAACCAAAGTTTCATTTTAGAATTGTGAGAATTTGAAGTAAATGACAAATAGTTTTGAAATGTGAAAATTCCAAATAAAGTTACCAAGCTGATTTTATTGCAGTTTTAAAAAAACATAAATAAAAACTTCAACAGAAAACCAAAACTGAAAACGCCACCAAATAGTAACTAAGCAAATTTATAATTTTCAGTACCAAAAAAAAAAAAGAAAAAAGAAAAAAAAAGGTCCTATGGAAACAGAACAATTCAAGCCCTAGGTTTTCCTAATAATAACTAAAAGAAGACAAAAGATTCATATATTCTTGCAACAAAAATTCATGATTTGGTGTTACAAGAAAAAAAATGTAAAATACACAACATTATGGGAAAAAAACAAGAAGAGAACTTACAGAGGATAAACAAGAGCAATCAGAGGCCTGAAAACACAAACCTTGTGAGTCAGCAAAAAGAAAACATAACAAACACATTGTAAAAAGAATTAAAGTAGCTAAAAACCCTAGCTTCAATTATCTTATGCTGTATATATGTACTGTAAATAATTTGTTGAACAATACAAACCCAGCAATGACATCAATGTTCTTGGCCACCAAATCAAGAAAATTCCTAGAACCCATCTCTCTCATTTACCAATTTTTTATGTGATCTTCTCAACTGTGAATTGTCAGAGCAAGTAGCAGAGTTTGCTCTGTTTCTCTTAAAGTGTTAAAAAAACAGAGAGAAAGTGCAATGATAAATAAAGCAGCACAATGTGAAAGGAGTCCAAGTAAAGCGGGAAAAAAATAAAAAGTTGAAAGTGAGAGTCTGAAAATATGGTGAGAGTTGAAAAAATGATCATCGCGACAAAAGAGGCACCGAAAATTTGGGCTTGTATTGGGTGTGGATGAAGTGACACCTACACATGGATCGAACCAATGGATGTTGACCACATGAAACAAGTGTAAAACAATTTGCAGATGTGGCAGATAATTATTGGTTGCTATAATATGGAGGTGTGGTGGATTGCGCACACTATGTGAGCCTAAATCTGTGCAATGATTCAGGTACTCTATTCGATTTTCTTGACCCCAAAAGGGAAAATTTACACTATCTACTTCTATTTTCCTATAGTAACACAAATTTCTACTCTGATTTTCCAGAATAAATTTACACTTTCTTTATTTAATCATCAACTTCTCAATAAATTTTTGAAGTAAAATTAGTGTTAAAACTCACTCATAAATTGATATCCCTTTCCAATACATTAATCCTATATCATTGCCTCATAATATCACAGAATGATCAGTATCAATGTCTATAATCTAATGGTATTTTTATCTTTTCAAAGTGTGTAAGATAGAATGTTCGAGTCTCCGTTCACAATTTTTACTATAAATGCACAAAACAATCGTTTGAACTAATATAAATTGAAATATAACTAGGCGTGCACCCTTAACTATTACATAGTTAAGTATTATCGTTTTCCTTATATCTAAGCGTAACTAAGCATTATCGGAAAGATCATGCTTAGCTATTGCATAGCATTATTGGAAAGATCAGCATCAAGGTTTATGATTTCATGATATCTCTTCTTCTTTCAAAAAGAATTTATTTATTTATTTATTTTTATTTATTTATTTTTTTCATTCAAAATGAAAGATAGAGAGTTCGAGTTCAATTCACTTTATGTCATAATTCTTACTAAGAGTGCACAAAAAAACCGTTTAAACTAATACGAGCCGAACTATTGCTATGTGTGCACCCCTAACTTTTACATAGCCAAGCATTATCATTTTCTTTATGATAGCTAATTTTCTATCAACTAACTATTATAGTTTTCTCATTGGCATCAGTGAAAATTGACTTTGTAAATTAAGTATGCGAATTGGCAAACACCATGTATAATTTTTCGGTTAAGAATGTGAGTAGTACGCAGCGGAATGTATATAGGAAAATTTTAAGTTTTGTAAAACAGATCTGTATTGTTACCAACAGTTAATCACATGTAGATAAAATAAAGCAAAGTATAAAGTTAGAGATGATACCAGAATTTTAGCGAGGAAACCCTAGTTGATAAAATACGTCAATTGTAATGGGAAAAATCTCGTGGACTTGTGTAATCCAAAGTAAATCAGTCCACCATGCTTGAAACAAAGTATATCAAATTTTGACTCTAGCACACACCCTATTGTTCTACACCACACTAATCGCTAATGATCCTCTAGCTTTGCGACTCCCCGTCCAACAGCAACTTGACTTCAGACTTACACTTGAGACAGCACTCCACGAATGTTACTTTTGTTCTTCAATCGTCTGAATGATGTAGAAGAATATATGCTTTTCCTGATTAATGTTAATACGCCTGTATGATAACGATCAGGATTTGAACACCACAACTCTAAACTCTGTTTATGTGTATGTGTTCTAGAAAGATATCAGAAAATCAACTCTGATTTTCTGCAAACATAATCTTGCTAAGGCTTTGAATAAAATTGAATAACAATGTAAAAGCCGTGAATAAACCAATGCAAAGTATAGAATGACCTAATCCCTTTGAACATAAGGTAAATTTCGTGCATAGGATTTGGTACAATTCTAGACCAACTAGGAATTTATTCAAAAAAAGGAAACTGAAGTTGTATTGCAAATAGGAGATCTTGAACCGATTCAAGGAAGCTAAACCGGTTTAAGTTTGGCGGTGTTTCAAACTGGAACTTCTTGACCCGGTTCAAGGAAGCTGAACCAGTTCAAGGTTGGCAGACTTGGATATTTCTAATTCTTCTAGCCTTGGTTCATTCTATGGAAATTGCAGACCAACATGGAAAGTGTAGAATGTCCAACCCTGTTCATATCCCTTCCTATAATGGCGTTCTTAACCTTTTCTTCATAACCTCTTCCCAATTCTGTAGTCCCTGTTGACCTGACTTGTAAAACAACTATTATAATTATAACTCAACTTGGACTTGTTATGTCTACGATAATTGCCAAAAAAATATTAATATCTCACAAAGAATACTAATTGCAACTCTTGTGCCAGTTAAATTTCCAATCACAAGGTCATCTGTGACACCCCGATAATTCTGTTGCTGGCCAGACAAATTTTGAAAAACATTTTTTTGTTTTTTGACAGTAGTAAATACATAGACACTTATTGTGGGTAAAGATATAATTATTGTTGTGAGTCATTCATACACACGCCCAGTTTTGTTGAGGTTTTTAAATGGATCCAACTGTGTTCATAAGTGATGACAAACTAAGCAGTAGTTCAAATGGGAACAAACAATGCCAGTCTGCAAGAAAAAAGTGGCAAAATTACAAATATATCCTAGACTGAAGCAAATAATGAAAGCCACTGACGAAGAAGATAATTTTGAAGCTCGTTTGGACCATAAAAAAGGAAAACAAGCAGATTGACATAGTGTTTTTTAGGATAATTTCGACGAGTCCGTTATGACTTGCAAAGACCCTCGTCTGATTGAAAACAATCTAACTCATAAAAATCACCAGCTTTTCTTCTGAGGTAGGGTATTCAATTATTTAGGATTTGAGAATTGTGTTTTTTCAATTTTGAATATTTCCTGATTTTTATTAAAAGTCTAAATGGATTTGAATTACTTTCTTTTTTTGGTATTTAGTAGCTTTTAGCAATTAGGTTTCTTACCTTATTTTTACAAAATATTTAAAGAAAGCTAGTTTGATTTTGACCAATTTACTTATTTTGTTAGGTTTTCTTTATTATAAATACATGAATTGTAAAGCAAATAATTCATACAATTATCAATAATATATCATAATTTTCTACAAAAGGATTATACTCCAATGTTATTTATTATATAATCTTCCTACCCTTAAAGAAGAGAGCATGAGGGGTTCGAGACCCGGACAGAGCAAAATGAGGGTAAAAACAAAAATCCAATTGGGTTGAGAAAAACACCTATAAGGGGGGAATTACACCCTCATTATTCAGTACCGGTGGGATTGCAGATGAATTATGGGGGTGTTAGGCCAATTATATACCACCGTCACCGTCGTCGACAAAAAAAGAAGTTAATATACCACTGCTATATCCATAAATATTTCAGTACTCAAGCATACATATATAGACTGATTAAGGACGATAGTCCTGCTCTGCAACTTTAAATGAAATGGAGTTGGATTTGAAAAGCAAAACAAGTTTTTGTCATTCGTACAGTGAACTCACTAATAGCTTTACAGTAAATAATTTTGGATTGTTAGAACAGTATCACAAGACTTGAATACATTCCATTTTCTTTGGTAGATTCATAAATTAGTAGTAATAAGACATAATTATTCTTTCTGAAAACATTAAACACAGCAATTTTACCTTTAAACATATATCTTTAAAAGACTCTTAGGATGATAGTCTTCCATTACTTCTCATTCAATAAATATTTATTTCCCTCCATGTTAGATTATCAAACCCTGTCATCCTCAACAAGTTTCCAACTAACTTTCAAAGTGAAGTTATGTACCAGATGAATATGCCTCATTCCATTTCATGTGCACTTGAATGCTTCACACTGACATACCAGAAATTATTATTATTTTTTTATAAAAAAAATAATAAAATAAAACACCCACCACCCCGAAATCGAAGCAATTTGTATAAATATGTGTAATATGCAAACAGACACATATAATTGATGATCATGGTTACAAATTATAAAGTCCAAACCTTTTTTTCTTCAAAAAAATTCTAGCATTATGCTTAATTTCTTGCGAGCATAATCTAAGCAAAGATCGTATCAACGGATTAAATTACTCGGGAATTTTCTTGAACTAGGAACTGATCAGTAATGGTGGTTGGCTCTAGGCCCACAAATTTGATTTATCTAACTATTCCATTATTCTGTCCCTTTTATTTCTTTGCTGTCGATTTCAGATTTCATTTTCCATGGCAGTACAGTACAGATATTCAATCTTCTAAATGCATGCAACCAAAACACAAGGCACTAATTGATAATTTTTCATACTGACATATTAGTGAAATGTATTCCGTTTACTCAAATTAGTAATAATCAATTAAATGTCGATATCATATGGTATAAATTTTCACGACACAAAAATCAGCCCACGTTAATTTGGACATATATATAAACACATATATCAGTGTGACAGTGCGTCATGTCTAAGGTAGGGACCTTGGTCTATTCTAAAACATTGAGAAACCATAATGCAATGGACAAACACAAAATAGAATACATCATCATAAAATGTGATTGATTGCTTCTCTAGATATATCTCTCTCTCCACAGGAAAGATGGACAGGCTTTTCATCTGAGAATTAGGGCAAATATATACAATCAGAGTGTTCTTTTTATCACCTTTCTATGGAAAGGAAACTGGCTGGCTACCATGACCACAGATCCAGTCCCATTGCATTGCGCACGAACACACAGACACATAGTGCAAGTACCATTTAAGTGCATCGAACATACAACATATTATCATGTAGCTTATCAAGAATAAAGTCTTTTTTTTTTTTTTTTTTTTTCAAAAATTAGAATAAATTCCTATTATATATATATATATATATATATATATATATATATATCTTGCTTTGCAATTCAAGGAAAAAAAAAAAAAAAAAATCTGGTTGCAAATAGCTATCTTGATACAAGATCAGGCTGGAAGAACAATTTTCATTCTAGGAGTCGAAGCGCGCGCGCGCGCGCGCACGCACATATATATATCTCCTACTCCTTTCAAATGATCAAAATGTTGAGGGTTCGAGTTCCAAGATGGACAATGGGTTAGTGTGAAACTTACCAATCAAAAAAAGAAAAATTATTGTATAAAGAATGAGTCCACTTGCATTAGAACTCCACTTGAAATTTGAAAAGGTTACAGATGGAGCTTTCAACAAAACAACGTGTATATATATATATATATATATATATATATGTATGTATGTATGATATGTTTACATACTCCTAGACAGCTAGCCATGTTGGTTATCAAACAAAAGCAAAGACAGCAACAAATGCCCTAAAAGAATACCATATTGTGTGGAAATTGATCAAGAATATGATTCATCAAGAATGAACCATTTATAAAAGTGCCCATATATATTTGAAAGTTGTTACGGTATGTGTTGGCTCCTCCATCTTAGAATTGTTGGAGCAATTTCTTTAATGGAACCTTAGACACAGGTGCAGTATATAGCCTCATATATATGCATGAGTGTTGTGTACAAATCAGAAAGTCAACACAGGCGCACACACACACACATAAGCACATATTTTTCTTAATTTCCAAATATTTCTTTAGATCAGACAAAACTAAATCTATGGAGTCATGTTTGTGTAATGTATTTCAGTGTTGTGTGAGGGAGCTAGAGAGGTTTTGTCACTTCGAATTTGTTAAACCTATCTACCCGAAGAGCCACCAAAATAAATGCAAGCTTCCATGCAAATATATTAGTCTCTTTCTTAAACCCAAAGCATGTATGATATATATGTAGGCCTTGTAAACATGAATAAACAACAGTTTTAACTGAATATTGGTACTAATCAATCCCACAGGTATATAGTACTTCCCAAATACCGGTCAATATCAGTTCCTTCGCCAAACCCTAATGGAATGTACATAATCACACCAGAATGAGATGTTAAACCAGCTCAAATTTGAAGCAATCAACATATATATGTAAGCCAGTTTTGCAAATGCTATATAGATGTATGTAGTAGAAAAATAAATAATCAAGCTATACTTCACCGTGGAGAAACGAAAGAAGACTTTCATCTCCAAGTTTAACTCGGACATAGCTCCCTTCTTTTGAAATGCAAAGCAATATCAAATCAAAATACCAACAAACATTTAGCTCTCTTCGAAAAGGAGGTAATTAATATATTGCCACACCTTTTGGTACGGCTACTTTGTTACGACTTCACACCAATCACTAGCCTGCCTTCGACTTTCTGATCCTCAAACGGAAGGCAAGTAATTTGAGCTAAAAATAATATGGAGTAATTTTTTCGAAAGTTCAAGCAAACGTGCACACCCATGAATAATATAACTACTTGTGTCATGCATGCTGATCATCTCCTCCATGTTGCACATTAGACCTGGAAGCGCCACCACTGGGAAGATGCCTAAATTCATTGACCGCAGCAAGCATACCCAATTGTCCATCGGAAACCGCACCGCCACCACCAGTGCCTGAACCCAACTGTTGGCTAGGCAATAGAGCCATTGGGGTAGCAAAATTCATAAAATGTAACCCACTAGACACAGACCCTCTATGCAAATTAGTGCTACCGACAGAAGGTAATGCCCATATGGGGTCAGTACCACCCATCACCTGCTTACCCCGATTCGCGGCGGCCCACAAGGCGGCTGCCACCGGCATCTGACCGTGACTCACCGGAACTAAACCCGAGCTAGACTGCATCATATAGCTTCCCATATGATACTGCGACGGCAAATCTTGCTTAGCTTCTGAAATGGCACTCACATTATTAGCAGTACTCGGGAAATTCAAATTCGAATTCTCCGTAGAAAATTCAGCTCCTGGAAACGAAATTCTCCGATGAGACTCCTCATTACTCCGTTCTGTGAACTGGGTTAACGCGAAATTCGGATTAAAATGAGAAGTCCTTAGAAAGTGTGAAGGAGCTGAGATAGTTGAGCCAGAGCTCCGGAGTGATATATTAAGGGAAGTGAAATTAGCCGGGATAGTTCCAGTTCCGGTGGCGGCGATCACTGATGGCTCCGCCTGTTGGAGCAGCCACTCGATGGTTTCTCCATCAGTCTTGTGGCCTAATTCTCTTGTCAGCTGGAACACCCTAGCGGCGCAGATGGCCGGCATGCGGATCCGGCGGCCTCGGCCATCCACTTTAGTATGTCTGTCCTTGGCTGTTGCCCTCTTGGGTGTGGGTTTCTTGGGTGGCTCGGAGCCGGCAGTGGTGGCGACTTGATGAGCTGGGTCTGATCGGTTCGTGCTCGTTTCGCCGGAAATGAAGAGAGATGGATAGCTGGAGCTTGAACATGGTGGTTCGTCTTCTTCGTCTTCTTCTTTTTTGTCTAGGAACTGTAATGGAAAAATTGGGTGGCGCATAATATTATCTTCTTCCATGATCATATATGAAACTTTTTTCTTTTTTAAGCTAGTACATCTGTAGATGACCCTCAATTTGATTCCATGTGGGTCTCTCTTCTTTTTCTCTCTCTAAGCTGATGGGAGCTGTGTTTTCACTCTTAAGAGAGAGATAGAGGAGATAAGGAATGGGGAGGAAGCTTTAAGCCTTTAAGCAACAAACACAATGAGTGGGAATGATACACAGGTGAGGTGGGCTATGACAAAAGCAATGTTCTTTAAACTCTATTTGGTTACAAAGAAAACTATGTTGAAAGTGTAAGAAAATTAATGAGAAAATTCCATCGACAATGGACACCAACAGCTGTTGGCTAATATTGAGAATGAGAGAAAATGGATGCTTTTTATTGAAGGTGAAGGACTTGCCAGGACTTGGTTAGGATAAAAAAAATAACTAGGTTAAATACAAGTGTCAAATCTCATAAATGATCAAAGTAATAAAGGTGAAACGGTATATTTGTATATAATTTGCTTAAATTTTATGAAGGTCAGTGTAATTTACTCTATATTTGCGGTGGTAACTTATTCCCACCACTAGAGTGCATCTCCGACAAACTTGAAGGTAGCAAACATCTGTTTCTCAACATCCGTGCACTCAACCATACAAAAATGACAATGAAAACACTCTTTTATGAAATTTACAAGTCTTGGTTCAGTTTTTTTTTTTAAACAATTATGTGTTCTGTGAGAATTGAAAATTAGAAAAATGTATAAAAATTTGTTTGGTTTACAGTTTCTAAAAATTATTATTTTTTAAAAGTCATTTAAGAAAAAGAAGGGCTTGTTTGGGTTTGTCACTCAAAATTAATTTTCAAGAATTTAAAAAATAAAAAATTATTTTTAGAGAATTAAAAAAGACAATTTTATAAGAATAAGCCATTGTTTAACTGAGTTTTCATAAAATAGTTTTTAAAAATTGTCGACTAAGCAGATTTTTGTACAGTTTGTTTTTGTTTTTAATTTTCAAAAAATAAAAAACTATTATCAGAAAACTAAACCAATCAAACATCTTTAATTGGTTCTCTCAAAATGGTTTTCTATTTCGATGTTCAAGAACCGTTTTTTTGAAAACTTAAGCAAGTAGATTTTTTATTTTTATTTTTATTTTATTTTATTTTATTATTATTATTTTTTAACATGAAAATTATGTGAGAAAATAAATAGTTACTTGAAACTTGTTTTTCTTAGATTTTATCTTTTTATATTTCCAAATTTTTAAAGAATTTCTTGTACTTTTGATATTTTTTCGTCTAATTAGTAAACAAAGTGTTATCATCCAACAATTATGAATATCTATTTCATGCAACTACCCAATATGTTGTGGTTTCATAGGTAACTAAAATGGTGATATGGCATTTTCTTAAAAACGACTAAGCAGATTTTTATATAGTTTTTTTATTTTATTTCAGCTTTCAAAAAATAGAAAATTATTCTAAGAAAACTGAACTAATCAAACATCTTTTATTGGTTCTCTCAAAATAGTTTTCTATTTCCGTGTTAAAGAATCAAATTTTTTTTTTTTTACATTAAAATTATGTGAGAAAATAAATATATAGTTACTAAAAACTTATTTTTCTTAGATTTTTTCTTTTTATATTTCCAAATTCTAAAGAATTTCTTGTACTTTTGATAATTTTTCGTCTAATTAGTAAACCAAAAGTTATAATAAAGAATTTGGATCCTCACCAGTAATTTCTCTCTTCAAGATATCATCCAACAATTATGATATGGAACTATTTCATGCAACTACCCAATATGTTGCGGTTTCATAGGTAACTAAAATGGTGATATGGCATTTACATAACCACAAAATATTAAATGTGTACCACCAATCGTAAAAACTCCTGTCTTTCTTTTATGATAGAGAAATTGAAGAGGTTTTTTTTTTTTTTTTTTTTTTTTTTTTTTTTTTAAATGACATGTTTTTATTAGTCCTACATATATAGTTTGTACTTTGGATGGTATTATATACTTTCTCATTCATAATAACTGGATTATAGTTTAGAGATGCTTGGATAGAAAAATTAATGGAGAGGTCCAAAAAATAGGCTTTTTGTAAGGGCTTGATTGTAATTTTGTGTTCTTGATTTTAATATTGGGTCCTTTTATTGTGGTTGGACAGTCCCTCATTCAGACTCCACGTGCAGTGTTCTTATCATTCAATCCAGAAAGACAGTGGTGGCCAAGAGGTGGGACCCATTACCAAAGTCAAAAAAATCTGAAAAACGGGTAAAGTAAAGATAATCAAGTGGCTCCCATCACATTCAATCAAATAATTTAGCCTTTGCCTTTAGTCTTCAATCTTGATTCTTGAACGATGGTTGAGAACATAAGTCTTTATTTTTTAACAATTTCCTTCAATTAGGTTAAAATTTCCTAAAGTATGTTGATTCTCAAATAAATTTAAGGAATTCTTTTAGGCTATCTTTGTGTGGGTATGCTTATACTCCATTTTTCATTGAATCCAAAAACTTTTACCTAATTATAGAGTGACAAAAATAATGAGGTAAAGAATTAAGCATTACATAATCTGACAAACATTTCATTCCATAATTAGAAAGAGATCTTTTTTGAAAGGTTTAAAATGAAAAGATCTTCCAACCCAGCTTTCTTCACCCCCAATTTCTTGGTTTCATTGTTCCTTCTTACCAAACAAACCCCAAAAATGCAACAATATGAAGCAAGGGTAAAAATGTAAAACACTTGTTGCGATGCTTTTCTTCTTCTTTTTCGTTGTGTGCGTATCTTCCTTTATATTAATTAATTTTGCTCTCAGTGTTGTAGACATCGTTAGACACTCGTCTAGGTGATTGATTGAAAACTAATCACTAACACCCGAGATACTCTTGTGATTGATTTTCAACGACTCACTAGGACAAGTGCCCATCAAAAGTCACAATATGCAAAGTTTGTTATTGCACCCAAAGTTTGTTATTGCACCCAACAATTTAATGGTCATGTACATATTTCACATCCATTGTCTCATAAATCAGCACCATTAAGTGAATTCTATAATCTATCTTGTATTTGCATCTCCTAAAGCATCATCCACCCCCTTCTTCCTTAATAAAATCATTTTGATGACAAATTTCAGACAATAAATTTTGGTGCAACAGTAAAGCTGATTCATTGTAATTTGGAAGTCATAATTTCAAAGAATAAAAAGTCTCTCTGCATACAAAGATAAGATTATGCACTCTTATCCTCTAATAATTTCACAATGACAGAAATTTCCTGTAATATTAACTAATCGTAAATGACGAATCCCAATGAACAGAATCCAAATCCTAAATGTCAAGTCCAAGATATTAGGATAGAAGTTGCAGTGTCAGGATCCACCTCTCATTTGCCCCAATTTGATAATTTGTTCATCTCAAAAAAATATGATAGAAGTTGCAGTGTTAGGATCCACCTCTCATGTGCCCCAATTTAATAATTTGTTCATCTCAAAAAAAATGATTAGTGTGAGGATAACATTTCAGTAACAAAGGTACTTAACTATAGTGAAACATGTTTAATCATCTGTATTTGGCATTTATAGGCCTAGAACTTGATTATGACTATCTCCAAAAGACTCTCTATATATAAAACGTTTGATTAAGTTTGATTTGTACTAAACTTGATTTAGATGATAGTTAGTTATGTCAATCCCTACCTACACATAGATATATAGTAGCATAAATGAAGATGTACTTTTTCTCATTTCCTTTTCTATCCTCGGACATGATTCTCAATGATAGAACCAATGATGTGAAGGTTTGCATTTATCCAATGCACCAGGCCAAAGACACAATCACGTCCACCAGTACCCTAACAACACTAGTACTCACTATTATTGTGCAAGAAACAACTACAACCATATAATATTATTAATGCCCGAGATATATATATATATACACACACATATTTATGGCGTATTTATTTCGTCATTATTTGATCCACGAGAGTTGGGATTGAACACATAACCACCGGTTCATGGTTCATGTGAACCATGCACAATAATGGCGATACTTTTGTGTTTCTAATAGAGGGAGAAACTGATTTTAGCTACGGAAAATTTCGTCGCAAATTATACAAATTTTGTAGCAAAAGGTGTTATGACTTTGCTCTGTGTGTGTTAGTTTTGATAATTCAATGCCTCTTTTAAGTGCTAGTCCTAAAATTGTGACAGCGAATATGAGATTGAAAATAAAGTATGCCCTTTCACATTCAAGCAAAGAAAAATTGATAAGGAAAAATTGCAGAAAAATCTATTCCATCAATTAATAAAAAGATAGCATTATTCTTATTAACCCTTCAACCTATGAAAAAAGTTGCATGTAAGGTAATTTTGTCAACAGACCGTTAATGATTATGTGAAATGATTTTTGTACCCTTATATAATGAAAAAAAAAAAATTATATAAATCTCCTTCAACTATTGGAAAAACTTGTAAATATTTTCATAAAACATATGACGGGACACCCATCCCGGGTGTTTTGTGTTTTAGTAATTTTAGAGGGGGCAGTTGTTCCCCTCATCTGTTTGTAGGTATGGAACTTGAACAAAGGTACCCATTTGAAAAGCTGTGTGCTTTACAAATTAAATCACCGAGTAAAGTACGTATAAATTTATGTGTAAAATGTGTCTATTGATGCGTAACTTTGGCCAAGTCAATATTATATTCTCGCACTGAAGCTACCAACTAGCTTGGTAACTAAAAGAATCTCTAAACAGCCGAACTTAGAATATAAGAAAAATGATTTATTCAATCGAGTAGCCTTACAGATTCCTCTAATCGAAGATTTCTCGACTATTGATTATTTTTATTGGACCCGTGTGAATAGCAAAAAAAAAGCATCTGACGACTCATAGATCTTAGATCTGTGAATTTGGCTAGACTACTTGATCAGAGTATATATCACTATTCTAGAATATAATCCTTCCTTCGTGAAACTTGAATATGTTACCCAGAATAAATAAATAAATAATAAATGTCATTACTTTGTATCTTAGGGAAAAACATACAATACCCGACTATTAAATACCTTGGTCAATCAAAACATCATATTTTCGCCTAATAATAAAAAAAATATAGTATTTTAATTGAACAAAATTATTCAGTAACCACTAGTCTGAGATACCCAATAACTTCTCATAATAATCAGTAGTACTCCCATATCAAATTATCTAATGATAATGATAGCTTCCTATACCATTCAAATAACCAACAGCCATATGAATGCAGTAGTGAAGCAAATTAAATTTTCCATCAGAAATTTGCCATTGCATATACAAATTAATGATCCTAGTTTTTTTTATTTATTTTTATTTTTATTTTTGAA